TCTTTCTACACTAGGACATTAGAACTCAGCGACCTTCCTATATTTTTCACAGTCCACAATTTAAATACTCCATTCAATCCCGTACCACTAGATCCCGTATTTCTGACGTCTATCCTCCTCCTCACCGAACTGCTACCTTTGACAAATCCTTTGTAATCCAAGCTATCTCCCTATGGAATTCTATCCCTCCTGATATGGGGCACGTACTATCAGTTTCTTCTTTCAAACCTCTCCTCTTTAAAAACATACTCCTTCCCCAATCAGAAAATGATGAAATGTACCTAAGCTAACTCTTTAAGTACTCTTAAGTACTCCTAGAGACTTATTTTAATATTTAATTAACTATTATTTTTTAAATATTTAATTTATATATGGCCTTACTGGTATTTACCCTGTACTTATAATTTATTCACGGACGACAGTCCCAGAATATTAAAAAAAAAAAATCATTTTTCACATGACTTGACAAAGACTAAAGAACAAGTTTTTTCAATATGTGAAAAAATTTGTCTTCAAAATCTTACAGAAATATTACAGATTGGGGAAAAAAACATCACAAATGAAGAAATATGGATATTTTAAACAAAAAATAGGATACGGCCTTGCGAAGCTGCACAACCGAAGGTTCTTTAAGGTCGGTTTGGAAAAAGAGTAATGCTTCGTTTTCAGTAAAACTTCCAAGGCGTTTTGCATCTTTAGCTTGTTCCTAGTGGTCAGGCAGTGGACTCAAATCTTTATTGTGAACAGCTAGACAGATTTTATGCAGTTTTGAATGCAAAGTAACCTGCTTTGGACAACAGGATTCAAGCCATGTTGCAACACGACAATGCCCCTGCACATCGTTCTCGTTTGACCAAGGAAAAGTTATCAGGACTGATAACAGTAAACGTTTTGCCTCATCCTGCGTAATGTCTAGATATTGCACCATCTGATTATGTTTTGTTTAGATCAATGGCTCATTTTTTCATTGGTGGGATCTTAGATAATTACGAGGACGTAAAAATTTGATGTGAAGGGGTTTTTGTCTCAAAACCAAATGAGTGGTACCGGTATCATATCCAATAACTGACAGAAAGATAGGTAAGAGTAGTTGAAAACAAAGTTGGAAACAACTTTACTTTGAAGAATAGTATTCAATAATATTTAAAATAAGTAATTTGAAATAAAGCTATACTAAATATTAAATACTAATGTGCAAGGACTTTTGTAACTGATATAAAATAAAATTAATAATTACAAGACTGTGATGTTGGCACATATTAATATCGGTTACTTAAAATGGGACATGATGAAAACATGCACCAAACTACATACAACAAATATTACCTCTAAATGCAACTACGTTTGCATTTATCAATTCTTTTTAAACACTTAAGCAATTATTTTTAAAATACATTATATGCAAGTAATGAACATAAAACATGAAAAATTCCATTTTTTTTTTTTAAATATCAATGAAAGTGCATTCAAGTGACAATTATATCATTGTGACCTATAAATTATTAATTTTTCTCAAAAAATAATTACTATATCAATTTATTTACTTGTAAGAATAATAGTTAATATATTGGGCATTAGAAATAAAACAATCATACGATCAAAATATATAACTGCATGATAAAATAACTACTATTATATAGTAAAGGAAGGCGTGCGTTAAAATAGATGCTATATATATATATATATATATATATATATATATATATATATATATATATATATATATATATTATTTTATTTATTTTTTTAATAATTTCTATTAATTTAAAAAAAATAAAATAATTTCTACTCAATAGCATATTTATTAATAAATTTATGCCATTATTGATAGAGGGTTTGATAATATTCTAGGTCCCCTACCCGAGATATATTACGACGGCGACAGCGACGAAAGAGACCGTGCCGCGCGACAGACCATTCTTCGACGACTGAATAGCTTTCGACTCCAGCTGGTCGATAGCCCCCACTTTCATCCCCCTTTCTCCCTCCCCCCCTTCTCCACCTCTCTATTTTTCTGGATTTTTTTAATTATTATTATTTTATTTTTTATTTTTATAATAAAGTTTTAGTTTCATGATGAAAGTTATACATGGTGAGTCGAGAGAAATAGACCAAACTGGAGGACTGCAGACAGCAAAAATAATATAAAAAAAACTCATATGTTCTTATTCGATTTGCATTTATTTTTAATTGCAATTAATTTTTCGTACATATATTGACATTTCAGTATTTATTTTTATTTTTTTATTTAAAAAAAATTAACACAACCTGTCACAACCAAGAGTATTTGTTATTATTACTCTATGTGAACATTCATACCAAATATACACAGATAAAATAAGAATAAAAAAAAAATCTCTCTGTTATATAAAAAAAAATAGTGTGTGTCATATTTTATTTTTATTTTATTTTATTATTAGTGTAGGAGGTTACAGGAGCTCTCCTATTAGCACTAATTATACAGTTGTTTATTTGATTACATATGTGTTGAGCTCCTGCTAACTCATACTCTGCTAATACAAATAAAGATTTGATACTAAAAAATTTTACGTGAAATGGTATTTATTCATCTAGAGATGGTAGTTTTGATTTTATCTAGGTGACAACAGTTTTTTTTCTAGACATTTTCCCTTGAATACAAAATATTAATTATTATATTATATATAATATTATTTATATTATATTGTGATATAATTATGATTATTATGAAATAGAAAAGGAAGCACCATATAACCAACAATAAAAATATTAGAAATAAAAGGCTTAAATTATTGTTGGACTTATATAAAGCTGGACAAGTTGAATATTTTATGGTTACAAATTGGCAATAAGGCACGATGTATAATATAGATTTTTAAAGAAATTAAAAAATTGTCCGAACTAAGGTTACTTTCAGTTTATTTTACTCTGATAAAAAATAATAAAAATATAAATATAAATAAAAATACAATCTGAACTACAGAAAACATGTAAATCAAGTTATGCAATTCGATCAACAAGTAGTTGCAATTAAATGAACAGTAGTTTAATTTGTAAAATGGGAGTTGGACCAGGGGGTTTGAACAGGGGTATTATTTGTCGTATTTTTATTTGTTGTATTTTGTATTGTATTTTGTATTGTATTTTATTTGTTATATTTCTATTTGTATAATCCTGTATAGTATTTTATTTGTTGAATTTTGTACTGTATTTTTATATGTTTTATTTTATTTTTGTATTGTTTTACTGCGTTTCTTGTGTCATTTTTTTGCTGCTGTGTGTAGTTTTAAGGTTTTCTTTTGTGTTTTTTCGGGTCGTTTTATGTAATTTAGTATTTTATTTGTGAGTTATATTTTGATATCGTCCTGCTGAAAGTCGTGTTAAGTCGTTTCGTGGTATTGATTGTTTGTGCGTCGTTTTATGTGGTTTTGTATGGTATTTTTGAGTTGTTATATTTTCGTATTGTATTTTTGTATTGTGTCATGGTTAGTCTTGATGGATTGATTTTGTCGCTATATGTCATTTTGTGATGTTGTATGTCGTTTCGTGTTGTTGTGGGTTGTTTTGTAGTGTTATATATTGTTTAATATTAAATTTTTTAGTTTTATTTTAGGAGTATTTTTCTTTGTTGCACATTTGCATTATATTTTTATTTGTTATATTTTTAATGTCATACTAAGAAGAAGCAAATGGAATGTTCATTTTATAGAACAATTTATTTCATTTTATAATTATTTTATTTCAATTTTATTGTAGATGTCGTGAAATAGTATTTTTGTATATATTTTTTTTAGTAGTTGTATTTCTGTATTCTATCTTTATTTGTATTTCAGTATTATAATTTTTTTTTTTTTATTAATTTGTTGACTATTACAACAATCTGTAACATGAACACTAGTTAGAGTGAGGTAGGATAACATTCACACTATATGTACAAAAAATATAAAATAAATAAAATAAAATAACCTAAAAATAAGAAAATTAAAACTAAGCAAAAAACACAATGCATATCTATATACACTATTTACAATCAGGCGAGGGAACTCCAGGGGAAACCTGAAGTATTGTAATTTAGTTTTATTTTCGTTGTACTTTTGTATTTTATTTTACTTTAATTGTATTTATTTATAGTATGAATGTGATCTCTGAACACTATTATAAATGCCCTTTAAGAGAGATTGTAATATTTTTTCAATAAATAAGTTTTTTTTTAATGTATTTACTGTATTTTAGATGTTGTTTTGCATTGTATTTTTACACTGTATTTTTAGTTGTATTTTTTTTACTTGTATTCTTAACGCAACATGATCATCATAATCCATCCTCTTGAACCGCATTAAGCATTATGAGGACGCCTTCTATCATTCCATTGAAGACCTCTTCTCTAGAAGTCGCTCTTCACATCATCCTCCCATTTCCTTCTAGGCCGTCCTCTTCCTCTACTTTAGATCGATAGGTATCGAATCGCTAGCTATTCTGTTTGGTTCCATCCGCAGAAGTTGTCCTAGCCATCTCAGTCGATTTTCCTCAATCACATCATTGGCCGGCTTAATATTGAGGTTCGATCTGATGGTGGTGTTGCGTAGTCTGTCTCTTCTCGTTTTTCCCTTAATCTTTCGGATTGATCTTTCTTTGTCAGCGTCCATGATTCTGAAGAGTACGTTAAAATGGGAAGAAATGTCGAACTGAAAACAGCTAATTTTGTTTTCTTTTCCACCTCACGCCTTTTAAAAAAACCTCTCTCAACTTCTTCAAACATCCTGCTCGCAGTAGCGATTCGCTCAGTCACCTCTGAATCGATGCATCCATTTTCATTAAGGTGTGCGCCCAGGTATTTGAAGTTTTCTACCTGCTTGAGGATTTTGTCTTCCTAGGCTTCTTCCCAACCCTCATTACTTTCGTTTTTACTGGGTTGATAATCATATTAATCTTCTGCAATTCTTCTTTTAATTTATTAATATTGTACTGAAGATTCTTTTTAACGTAACAGCGTAACTAAAAAGAAGAAAATGAAACAATCATTATATAGAACAATTTATTTCATTTTATTATTATTTTAAATCATTTTTTACTGTCGGGAAATGTGAAATATCAGAGCTTCAATTGCAAGGATTGCATGGTGGACCCTTTACCGGTGGTCCTCCGAACCTCTTGGTCAAGTCTGCAATCCTAGTCGCCTCCCTAATGCCGGACACCCTGGAGCCGTGGAGTGTTCCATAGTGGGTCGGATGGGTGTGCTCACCGGCGAAGAATATTATAGGAGGAATGTCGCCGCAGTCGAAGGGGAGAGGAGTGCTGAGGCTGTCCAGCATCCCGGGGCCGGAGCCCAGGCTCAGGAAGGTCTTGTAGCCACAGAAGTAAGTGTTCTTCCGCCAATCGGACCGCAGGACCTCGGTAGGAGTTGGCACCACTGTCGAACCCAGGAACCTCCGGAGGAGCGACATCAGTCCTTCAACGACTTCGTGGTCTTCCAACGACTCCATTACCGTAGCTTCAGGGCCGGCCACCGTAGCTGCCAATACCTGAATGGGTTAATACACTACTCACCTCTTGCTGTTGCAAATGAAGTTATGGATTAAAAATAATTAAAGAAGCGTGAGTACCTAAGCTCCGTGACTAAAATCGTAGATATCAGTTCTCTTTCGCTACTCCAAGATTATAGTCAAGATCACTCAGATCACACGGTTTCTAAATCTTTAAATGTGTCTGAAAGAAGAAACCTTTCGATTTCCAACTAAATTTTTACTCGAGTATAATGTAAATAACCTAATAAAGTTTAATTGTTAATGATTTGTTTTAACGGGAATTGCGAATAGCCTTCCGCTTTTATATCGGGGAACTAGGTTATGTACACTCGTGAATATTAAAACAAAACCCCGGCACAGAATATAGACTTTTTGAGGGTATTTAACTGTTGTTGGGAATTCGAGAACTTAATACTTTTGTGACACTGAGTGAGAAGAAACAATAAGAATATATATATATAAAATGTGGGACTTAGTAAATACACTTTGAATGAATTGACTCACCTGGTTTGTTATTCTTCAATTGTGAGGCATATAGGACAACTAAATAAATAAATGACTTTTCACTCCTGTCTAACAAAACAATTTATTTTACAACTGTAATAAGTGAATATATTAAAGTCTTATAACTGTAGGCTTGATATTCTTGGTCCTCTCTCATCGCAGGTAGCGTCATCTCGCCTCCGTGTCCCATCCTCAATTGCCTTCTCCTCTCTTCTTCGGCGTCCTCCTCCAGCTGTTGCTACCTGCTCCGTCCTTTTTCAGCGTCCTTCTTCATCGATTGTTTATCGATATGAGACTTTTCAATGAATAATTTGTCCACTGCATAATTGAGTAAAATTCATTGTGCAACCTCACATTCCTATATATTCCTTCTCATTCCCTCACACAATGTCACATAAAGGATTAAATACAATAATATTCGTAGGCCCAGGAGGAAAACCTCAATAGTCCACTTTTTGCTCATTTTAAACAGATTCTGCCATCTGATACTAAGTGTACTTTCTTTTGGTACACATTCCAATCGGGGAAGGAGAGTAGAAAAAAAACAATAATTCATATATAATCTATATAGTCCGTGGTACAGACCCCTTTTTATCAAATGATTTAACATTCGGCTGAAACTTCGTAAATAGCTTCATATCATCGTACCTACAAATATTCTATTTACGAAAATTCTTGGAATTGGGACGTTTTCAATCTGGAGGGGGGAAAACTTTGTCTATTTAATTACGTACTAAAAACTCGTTAAGTAACCATTTCCTTTCCACTTTAATCGTAAGATAACTTGAGCACAAAATCGAGGAAAAATGTGGACTTCAAAAATATTACGCCGTTTAGCGTGACCTACACCACAAATTGTCAAAACAAAGAGGTTATATAGTAATAATAATAATAATGCTTTATTTATTCTGGGACGAGTCCCTTTAGAATAATACAGAGAAACAAAAATGTGGGCTAAGGAACCTCAGAGATACATAAACAAGAGTATAGTTTGATTAAATAGTAAAGAAAAAAAAAATAAAACAAAATAAAAAATATTTAGAGAAATTTTAAGTTACTTTCTAATTTACATCAGTTAATAATAAAAATAAAAAATTGAATATAAACATGAAGTAAAAATAATAAAGAACGATCTAATAATTTATATACATATTTACAGTAGTAACTATTTACAATCTTATGATGAGGACTGGATGGATAAGAAATGATTAAACAGTTGGGATTTAAAGGTAGGAACGGTTTTGGATTGACGGATGTGGGGAGGGATGGAGTTCCATAGGGAAGAGGATCGAATAATAAATGATTTATCGAAAGCAGCGGTTTGGTGGGCCATTATATATAGATCTGAGGACCGGGAACGGGTATTGCGGGAGTGGACAGAGGATTTAAATTGAAGGAGCTCGGCGATGTATGAAGGAAGGCGGGAGTGAATTACTTGGAAGAGGAAGGATGCCAGGAAATACTTACGGCGGTTGGAAGGATAAAGCCACTTCAACTCTTCATAGAAATAGAAAACAGGAGGGTCTCTTGGGATCCCGAAGATGAATCGTACGAAGCAATTTATCAAACGTTTTAGTTTCGCCTCGAGATCCCCAGAGACGCCCCCATATACCGTGCAGCAATAGTCGAAATGGGGAAATATTAAAGAGGTGACCAGGAGTCTACGGATTTCAAAAGGAAAAAGGTGTCGCAGGCCAAACGGTTCAATATTTTTGAAGGCCACCTTTTTTCCCGACTTTGTGCTCAAGTTATCTTACGATTAAAGTGGAAAGGAAATGGGAAATTATGTGTGTGTTTTTAGTACCTAATTAAATACACAAATTTTGGCGACCTTTATTTTGAAAACGCACTAATTCCGAGAATTTTCGTAAATAATATATTAATAGGTTAAGATGAGATGAAGCTATTTACGAAGTTTCAGCTGGATGTTAATCATTTGATAAAAAGGGGTCTGTACCACGGAATAATAATTTAGAATCTATAAATGGGGTAAAACCAGCTGTAGTCCTGAATTTTGGGGGAAAGATTAACAATAATCTATTTCTACAATAATAGTGGTTGGCAGCAGTGAATAATTGAAGAAAAGTTGCTTGAGATGGTCCGTAAAAAAAAAAAAAGATTAAAAAAAAATAAATAATATTTATTTTTATATTTGCCGACGCTTCGGCCTAGAGTTCCGGCCTTCATCAGGGCTAAGAAAAGATTAGATAACAATATGGGAAACTACAAATAACTAGATACAAAAATATATCGAATATAAAACAGATACGATATAAAATAACCAGCCAGATCTCTTGTAATTGTTCTATACAAAATACAGAATTTTATCTCTCTAATAATAGAAATTTTTAGTAAAGAAGTTTGAGGTATGAGGATTTGTCACAGAGCGCGCGCCTACGTCTTGAATTTCGATCGAAGAGACCCAACCAAGTTCAAATAGTAATATTTAATAACAGCATTTACTTTCCCAACAATTTTCTTTTATTTTTTATTATGTTTCGGGATCCACTCATTATCCCATCTTCAGACAGTATCTCATACTAATATCATCTTATATTTTTTATAAGATTTGTCATAATTTTTTTATTTTTATATTTTCATAATTCCAAAATCAATCCAAAATCCTAAATGCTCCTTATTAGGTATCAAATAAAATTATCCATAAAGACTTCAACAACATTCCTCTTGTGGAAGACTTGCCCCGAACTAGATAAACCTCTTTTCATTCCAAACTCTTTGGTCACCCTAATCTCTAGTTTGTTACCTTTCATCCAACACAATTTCTGACAATCCTCCGAGACGTCTGAAAAGAAGATGGCCAATGGACCTCCTAAATTAATTTATCTTTGAAGTGTTACCAATGGGTAGCTTCTTTACAAGTACCTTCATGTAATATATTCCTATATCAAATTTACTTGTTGTATATTTGTTTATAGTTGTAAATTTCAATAAAATAAAAAAACGCCTGCAAATTATTCCACAATGGTTTATTATTTCCAGACAATTATACATTTAAAGTAACATTACCTTCATAGTTACAAAGAAAAATAAATAAATAGGTGATTCCAATTATTAGACTAAACTTTTTTTTTAATTGGTAAATTTTATATTATTGGTAAAATGCTAAAAAAAATAGCATTACATCAGTAACATATTCAAAATTTAAAAACCAAACAAAGGATATTACATTTGGAGTAGAACATATTTTAAAAAACCGGAGACCATATCTTTGCCCCTAATTTTCCAATTTTAACGATTTTTTTTTTGTTTTTAAGAAAATTTCGTAAACTTTTAAAAAACCATATACATTATCTACAAAAAAGTGTAAACTTTTTGAGTTATTCGGAATTTAATATTACCATCCCTCGTAACATTTTTTCCAGTTTCTTTTCGTTGAAGTATGTTATATAGATAAATTTAAAGGGCGTCAAGAAAATGAGTTTAGCGAAGTTTCATTGCAATCGGTAAATTCGTTTAGGAGCTACAGTCCATAGTAACGCAGTTTTTTCGGCCACCATTTTAAAAGTAAAAAGCTGATGTTAATGTCGATGAAGGAGGATCATCCTTGAGTGACCTCTGATTTTATATCTAAATTTGAAAATAATCGGTCAAGTACGGCGGACGGACAAAAAAATTTTTATTCGTTTTTCGAATTCTACGCATCCTGAAACGTGAAACCTTAAATTTTGAGAGGGGGTTAAGTTTTTGAATTTTTTGGTCGATTACAATGGTTGATTATTGAAAATAATAAACCAAAAAATATTACTTATATACCTCAGAAAAAAGTATCTCCTTTAGGATTTATGAACAAGTTCAAATATTCGTAGATGTCCATTTCCCTAATAATCTACTAATGTTTAAGTAGAGATGAAAAAACATATCCTCAGAATGAACAGGATTTCTCGATTTCTATAGAACTTGTTTTTTAATCCAAATATATATATACATATATATATATATATATATATATATATATATATATATATATATATATATATATATATAAATGAATGTATGTCTGTCTGTCCGTCTGTTTGTCCTTAGTGCATTACTAAACCATTCAACCGATCGCCATGAAACTTTGGGAAGTTGTTCCGTACACTCCTGGGAAGGTTTCTGGCATAGTACTTCTGTCTTACGATATATATGTAAAAAAAATAAAAATGTAAATGTTTTTTCTGTTCAAAGCCGCAAAAAATGTGTCGCTATAAACTGTAGCACCAAAACGGCTTTACCGATTTTAACGAAACTTGGCTAAAGTCTTCTCCTTGAAACCCTTTTAATTTATGTGTATAACATACTTTCCCGAAAACAAGCTGAAAAATTTTACGATGAATTCAATATTTTATTTGACGATAACTAAATAAGTACACAATTTTTGACAGATAATACCAACATTTATTTGAAATATTCCTGAATTGCCGACAAAATAAATAAAAAATCATCGAAATCGGATGGTTCGTTGCAGAGTTATTGAGTTTTAAACATTTACTGCTTTCTCTTCAGAAAAGGCCGTTTCCTTTTGCTTCCTCACTACCGAACGTCGGCAAGCATTTTTTTTTTTTTTTTTTTTTTTTATTGATTAATCGAAAATTTTATAATTACTACAGTAATTGAAATTATCATTTGAAGAATTTATATAATTTTCCTTATGTAGGTGAATACTATTATACGTTTTTTTAATTAATTTTTTTATTTAGTTTTATAAGTTCAACTCAGACTGTTTCTGATGATTATGAATGACGACGTATTTACTCAGATAATTATGAATGTTCAATTTGAATCATGAGAAAAAAAAACAATTATAATTAGTTTCAATTGAAGCCATTTAACAGACAAATTTGTTTCCCAACTTTTTAAAAATGACAGATGTCCTTTGCTACTGATCTACTCATATATGCTTTCTATTTTCTTTCTCTTTCATTTTGCCAGGTTAAGCCACAGCAGCGCGTGGCCGGGTAAAGCTAGTTTCTTTATAAAAAGTGTTACAAGTTGCATACCTTGCTAGATCCGGAGACCGCTTCGAAGTTGGTGACTCCTCTCAGCCAGGACCTCTCTTCGGCGAGATCCGCCGGGGTCCAAGCCAGGATCAACGACCCCCCGCTCTCTGCCCAGAAGGGGGAGTCGAACTTGAGGAACGCCCTGTTGACATTCCCGAACCCGAGGCTGTTCACGGCAGACATCTTGTACGACGGCAGATTGGGACAGAAGAGCCGGTCGGCGGAGTCCTTCAGCACCCCGAGAGACACCGTGACGATGACGTAGTCGGCCGGGAAGTTCTCTCCGTCGCAGCACTTGACGATCGCCCTGGGTGCCCCGGGGCCTGCCGTGCCCCAGAGGATGCAGTGCACCGGCTTGCAGTAGATCACGGCGTTCGGTGGGAGGTTCCTCACGAGGGGCGCCATGAGTCCTGCCAGGCCGACGGGTATCTTCACCCTCCCTCCGGGGATCTCCTCGTTGGTCAGCAACGCGCTAGCGCTCAGCTGTTCCAATGTTATTGTTGTCATTACATTAAGACAACAGACAATAATAAGATAATAAGTGCTAATACATAACTACCTGCTATGTATTATCCCCAAACAAGGGATGACATAAAAGATGCTACGTTTTGGGGGATTAAATTTTATTATTCGTCGTAAACCTATGTCCACTTGTCCTGCAGTATCCTTTAATAATACCCCACTTATCCCTGTTGAACAAATTCGATACCTTGGACTCCACTTAGACAAACGTCTAACTTGGAATCCTCATACCAGACTGAAACGACTAGAAACAGCTCGACGTTTCCGACTACTCCAGCACTTACTAGGCAAACGATCTAAGCTCCCAGTCAATTACAAAAGACTCATATACATGACTACAATAAGACCTATTTGGACTTACGGAGTTGAGCTCTGGGGCTCCACTAAGCCATCGAATTCCTCTCGTATCCAATCCTTACAATCCAAAATCCTTCGTAAAATCCTCACAGCTCCTTACTTTGTCACAAACAAAATCATCCATAACAACCTTAATGTTCCTTATGTTTCTGACCTGGCCCAATCCACGATACCTATCCTTCCATAATAAACTTCAGAACCATCCCAACCCTCTCGTTTCTAACCTTGCTTCCTCTTCCATCCCTGACAACCCTCCGAGGCGTCTGAAAAGAAGATGGCCTCGAGATCTTCTTTTGTAAATACATTTTTAGAGTGCTGCCAGTGGGTAGTTTCTCAACAAGTGATTTCATGTTGTTATATTCTTTTGTTCACATTTACTGAATGTATTTTTACTTGTAATACAGTTGTAAATATCATCAATAAAAAATAAAAAAAGTTTTTAAAAAATTTATTCGGGGTGCCACTGGATAATTAATGATGATAATTACCCAGAAACGTTTAATGAAAAATTAGTAAAATAAATTTGGATTTATAATATATTGATTGGTCCAGAATTAATGAATTGGATTTCTTTTATCAAAGGCTGGTTTGTGTTTATCATGCTTTCTAATTACTAAATATTACCTGTGATCATCATGATATAAATAGGTGACAGAATTAAAATAACTTTTAATCAAAACTTAATTTATTTCTATGCTTATATATATATATATATATATATATATATATATATATATAAAGAAAGCATTAATTTTTAAACAAGGCACTGAAATTTAACACAATTTAATAGGTTCTTGGCCATTTTCTGATTATTTTGTAAATTGGTATTGGAATAGGAGGGTTTTAAAAGTGGATTTCGGAATTATATTTTTCCCTTTCCAATGCAATAAGTCTCTTGGCCAGCGCCTCAGCAGTCTTCTGGGCGGATTATATGGATTCGTGGTAGTATTTAGAGCTTGAGTAAGTGGATTGGAATTCAGAGTCAGTCTGTCATGAAAATTATTAAAGCGGTCAGTGGCAGTTGCCGTGACGAAAGGAATGTTAAGGTCAGTGTGTAACGTAAGGTTTGAAACATAAAAAGATGCGTCTACAATTTCCCGAAGGACTTTAGACTGGAATGACTGGATGATTTCTATATTTGATTTCTTTGCTGTTCCCCATAGTTCAATTCCATATGTCCAAAGTGGTTTAATGAGGACTTTGTAAATAGTTAATTTATTATTCACAGATAATTTAGAACGCCTGTCAAGTAGCCTAGAAAGAAGTCCGTATTGATGATTAAGTTCTTTTCTTTTTTGTTTTATGTGGTATGTCCATGTCAGTCGTTTGTCCAAGTGGAGACCCAAATATCGAACAGTTTTTAAAGACAGTAGAACGATATTATTAAAGAACACTGGAGGACAAGAGTCATGTTTGAGTGTAAATGAAACAAATTGGCTCTTAGACTCGTTCATTTTTATCCCCCACCTTTTGGCCTAACAAGCTATGTCGTTTAGGTGTTCTTGAAGTACCTGAGAAGTCTTAGCTGCATCCTTGTTAGATGTTAATATTGCCGAGTCATCAGCAAATGTAGCCAACAGTGTTTCAGAATGTCTGAACAGTAAATGTTGAAAAGTGTTGGACCCAAGACACTACCTTGAGGTACTCAAGCTTTTATTTGTTTGATGGCAGAAAACTCAGTCCCCATTTTCACACGGGAAAATCTATCTTTTAGATATGATAGTAAAATTAAGTAATACGTCGGAGGAATAATCGTTTTTAATTTATGTAACAAACCATCGTGCCTTAAAAAAATTTAAGTTTACAAAAATTAATTTATGATAGTTATTTGAAGACAAACATGATAAAATTTTATGTTCACTGATCTCACATTTGCCATAGATATCAATCAAAACTAACCTTATCCAAATCTTCTCCATACTGAGCCTTCAGCGTGCCCATGAGCCCGTAGACAGCCCTGGAGATGTCCCACCTCTCGTGCTTGGGGTAGCTGTTCAGGTGGGCTTTGAGGCCGCAGTCGATGTAGCTCGAGAGGTTCGCTCCGTGCTGAGCGCCACTCTTTGGTTCGTTCTCGACCGCGTTCTCGATGAGCTCGTTGAAGATGTTGATGGCCTTGCTGGAGGTCTCGCTGTCGATGGCTCTGCCCTCGCTGGTCAGGAAGAGCAAGGAGTCGTCTACGACCCTCTCGACCGGGGCCTTCAGGAGGCGTTCTTGTGCCGCCAGGGTGAACACTGTGTTGGCCAAGCTGGCTCCATCTATGTAAGGGTACCCCATTTCCACGGCAGCGTCTCCTATCCAGCAAGTTTTCATGCGCCCTCCGGGTCTGTTATAATTAAACAAGGATTTTTTTTTTTAACTTCTTTTTTGAGATATTAAAATCTGTCACATTCAAGGACAATAGTGATATAGAGTAGCTCATTCATACCATACAATAAATAAATATAATAAACGCCAATATAATAATACTAATGTAAATCAACAAGGATTAGAGATCAGATTTTCATATAAAATAAATAGCTTCATATGTACACGGGCGGATCTACGGGGGGGGCTTTCGGGCTGAAGCCCCCCCCCCAAAATGGTAAAATGTAACCATATTTTACAGAAAAAAATACTTTATACTATCTCTTAAAGTATTCTTGTTGGTGTAATTACGTTTAATAGGACTTCAAGAACCACTTAAACACCATTTCATATAGATAATTAATTAATTTCTTTTTTTTCAAATTAATTATCGTTATATATATATATATATATATATATATATATATATATATATATATATGAAAAAAAAAACTGTCGGGCTGAAGCCCCCCCCCCAAAACTAAATCCTGGATCCGCTAGTGCATATGTATATATAATTTTTTTCGGCATTACAGTTCTTTTGCCGCATTAACAATCCTACTACATTTCTGCCTATATTTAGACAGGCCGACTTTCCGAGACTTCTTTTTGGTTTCGTAATAAGATGTTTTTTATGGGATAGGGTTATTAACCCTGTGCTCAAACCCCAACCTATAGGCCTAGGTTAAAACATGGTGTAAAACACAGGGATTGCTCACCTCCACTAGCAGATCCAGGATTTAATTTTGTGGGGAGCTTCAGCCCGAAAGATTTTTTTTTTCATATAAAGATAACGATAATTAATTTGAAAAAAAATAAAGAAATTAATTAACTATATGAAATAGTGTTTAAGTGGTTCTTGAAGTCCTATTAAATGTAATTACATGAACAAGAATACTTTAAGAGATTTTTTTTTTTTTATTAACGAAATTTACAACTGTAATTAATAATAAATACAACAAGTAAATATGAACAAGTAATATGACATGTACAACATGAGGAGAAACTACCCATTGGTAGTACTCCAATTATATTTCTATATTAGAAGGTCCCTAGGCCATCTTCTTTTCAGACGCCTCGGAGGGTTATCAGGAGTAGATTAGGAAGCAAGGTTGGAAACGAGAGGATTCGGATGGTTCAGAAGTTTATTATGATCTGGATTGAGCTAAACCGGAAACATATGGTACAATAAGGTCATTATGGATGATTTTATTAGTGACCAAGTAGGGAGCATTAAGGATTTTACGAAGGATTTTGGATTGTAGGGATTGGATACGAGAGGAATTTGATGGTTTAGTAGAGCCCCAAAGCTCGATCCCGTAAGTCCAAATAGGCCTTATTATAGTAATATATATGAGTCTTTTGTAAATAGTTGGCAGTTTAGAGCGTTTGTCTAATAAGTGCTGGAGTAGTCGGAAACGTCGGGCGGTTTCTAGTCGTTTCAGACTAGTATGGGGGTTCCAAGTGAGTCGTTTGTCAAGGTGGAGTCCTAGGTATCGGATTTGGTCAACAGGGATAAGTGGGGTATTGTTAGAGGATACTGTAGGACAGGAAGTCATAGGTTTACGACGAGATAATTTTTAATATTTTTTTCTGTGAAACATTGTTATATTTTAACATTTTGGGGGGGTTCAACCCGAAAGCAACCCCCTCCCCCCCCCCCGTAGATCCGCCTGTGCTCACCTCCTGATGTTTTGGTGGGCATGTTACCGTCCCCATGCAAGAATCGAGTCCTATCTAAGCAATTGGGTAGCGCTTGCATTTATTTTATTTTAATTTATTTATTATTAATTATTATTATTTTTTATCTTTTTGTTATAAAATCTCACGAACGGGATTTGAGCTCATGACTTTTCGGTTGAAACTGATTGAACTCATGAAACAAACGTCCTCTAAACGTTGGAGATATCTACGGATAAGAGGGGAGCTTCAATGCCTTCCTCCCCCCCCAAAATGATAAAATATAACCATATTTTATGGAAAAAATATATAAAAATTACCTCTTAAAGTATTATTGTTCGTGTTATATTACATTTAATAGGACTTCAAGAGAGGAGGGCTGGGGAAAAAAGCACTACAAATGGCTGAGGAATACTCATACCTTGGGCCACTAACGGATCCAGGATTTAATTTTGGGGGAGACTTCAGCCCCAATAATTTTTTTTGTATGTATATATTAGGATAATTACGTCGGAAGAAAGCAAGAAACTAACTACCTTTATGAAATGGTGTTTAAGTGATTCTTTAAGTCCTTTTAAATGTAGTTAGAAAAACAATAATAATTTTAAAGATAATTTTTTTCATAAAATATGGTTACATTTTACCATTTTGGGAGGAGGAGGGTTCAGTCCGAAAGCCATCCCATGAAGATCCACCTGTGCCTTCAAACAGTGATCAGCAAAAACTACCTATGCAATACTGTAGTTGGGAAAAGGGAGGTGGATAATAATGTAAAATTATATATTTTTAAGGCAGTTTATCTCCCTACCCTTCTTTATGAAAGTGAAAGCTGGGTCCCAGTAGAAAGGCACTGGAGTAGAATTCAAGCTGGAGAGATGAAGTACCTCTGAAAAATGAATGGCCTAACAAGAAGAGATCAGGTTCGAAATGAAAAAATTCAACAGGAAACTTGGAGTTCTAGCTGCGCAACATATAATTGAAAAGAGACAGCTGAAGTGGTTCAGGCATTTTTGTCGAATGCATGAAAACCGAGAGCCAAGGAAATTCTTCGAGGAAGACCTAAGATGACATGGATAGACCACATCGCCAGGATATGACATAAAAGAGGGAAAGAGTTGAATGCCATGAAGGCACTGGGTCGGGATCGTGATGCCTGGTAACCATGGTTTGAGGCACCTTCTCACTGAAAGGCACAAATGAAGAAGATAAAGAACAAAAAGGACTTCAAGAATCACTTAAACACCATTTCGTATAGGCAGTTAGTTTTTTTTCTTTCCAATGTAATTATTGTTATATTTATTTATTTTTTTTAAACTTTCCGGCTTAAGCCCTCCTCCCAAAAAAAAATTAAATCCTGGATCCGCTAGTGATGTCTGCATAACCTGACTATTTTTCATTTTCAATAGTAATAATAAAAAGAAATGTTATTTAAGTATGCTATATTATGGATTCAGTACTAGTTTACCCATCCATCGCCTCGACGACCTTGAAGTTAGTTATACCACATTGCATCAAACGATTGGCAGCAGACAAACCAGCCATCCCAGCGCCAATGATGACTACTGCAGGTTGTGGAGTGCCAGGCTTGATAGCACACATATCATAAATGCAGACTGGCTCTGAAGATTTAGATTCCAATTTTGCAGGTTTAGCCTTCGTCAGTGCTCTTCCGATATTTAACCACCTTAAAAGTATAAAGATGAGAATGTTTTACATTTAATCAGATATATCATCGATACAAATACTGAATATCTAATATGAAAATTTAAAAAAAATTCAATCCTGCGCACTAAATATTGTAATTGTAATTAAATATTTTTAAAGAGCGAATAGAAAACCTTCATAAAAGAACATATTAGTGTGAAAATCAAAACATCCTTCTTGTTTGGGCTGAATTGATAATAATATTAGAGTGGTGATTTTCAGATTCAATAGTTAGCATTTGTATCGACAATATCTAGATAGAGAAAATTACTCTTTTAAATTATAGATTTGTAACCTTAATAAGGCTTATGAAAAAAATTATTTACATGTATCACAGTATTGTAAAAATTAATTTCTTAGACTTGTAAAATAGCTAAGCCAGATATAAATGTAAGAAAGAGTATTTGTCTTACAAAATAACAAGATTCTTATAATAATCTCTTTAAAATTCTGCATTGAAAAGCTAGAATTTTTGGTTGAACCACTTATTTACTGCTTATTGCAGCATCAGTGCCATTCTTCTTGTCAGGGTAAAAATATATCAAGCCACATAATTATTTATTATAATCAAATAATTATTTAAAATATAAGTTTAAGGTGTTTTTTTTTTTCCATCCCTTCCCCTGAAATGAAAAATGTGATCTAACTCAAAATTTTAGGAAAAGATTTTTTTTTTTAAATCATATATTCTGAGATAAGTAAGAGCATATAGATTTCTGTCAAATATAGAATAATAGTTATTGAAACTTAAAAAACTTTATAAAAATACACTTAAACTAATTTTACTAAGATTAACAATTATAAATTAATGGATAAATTTCCTTTATTCATACCTAAAGACTAATCAATTTATTATTTATTTATTCTAATTAATTATAATTTTTTTTCATATATTATAAATGTATAGTATTTGTAAAAAATTTTTTTGAAAAAAAAAAACAATTATACATAAATAAAAATTTGTGAATAAGTTATTTATTTGTAACTCACAAATTAATAAGTTTCAAACAGAAATTAAATATCTCCTGTTATAGTCCATATTAAGTAATAGAAGAAGGGCTACCTAGCATCGGAGTAAGTAAAAAATTAAATTAAAAACAAATTTATAATCCAAAACATAAATAATATTTATATTTAAAAATAATCACACATAAAAAAATTATTTGTTCAGTTTATGAATGAACATGCATTTTATTGAATGCAAATAAAATGTTTAGGACAATAATTGTTTTTTATTATTGGACTGGTGAGAGACACTAGAACTACGTTATATGAAAATTTATAGGTATGTGATAAATTTTTGGTGAATTATCGCAATATCATTATTTTAAATTAAATTTTAACTAACTAAATCAATAATCATCATTTATTAACAATATTTTGGCTTTTTATAGATAACTTGAGAATGAGCCAATTGGCATGAAACAGTGTCAATGTCATAAATAAATGGAAGAAGTCAAAGGGTAATAAATTCCTTGGAAACACCTCATATGAATAAATGTATAGTATTTGTGAGAAAAAAAATACAATTATACATTAATAAAATATGCAATTAACGTACTTGTTACTAACAAATTACAAAGTATCAATTACAAATTGCTCAAATAGCACATATAATTAAATAATATTCTGAATCAAATAATGTGATTATAATGTTGAAATTCGATAATTTAAGTAATGAATAATAAACGTTTTGAATAAAGATTTGAAAAATAATTTGTTATTGAATTCGTTTTTTACTATAATAATACCTTAATCAGATACCAAGAAACTTTCAATTGCTTGTAATGTAAATTGTTCTAAATACTGTTTATACATATATAAAAAATATAAAGCCGGACTTTCTACTTTTTTGAAACAATAATACTCCCTTTCTAATACTTTCACTATCCCCTATCACACTGTCACCTAATGGCATTCTAGCACCATAGTGATAGTAACATTTCACCTGACATAATGACAGCATGATTTCTACCTGTACACTTATTGATTTCTTATACAGGACAATCAAAATTATTCCACATAATAGAGCATTATTAAATTTCAATTCTTTACAAACCTTAGTCCAATCAGGCATCTTGTCTTGTTTGGTTGCATATTTTTATACATAAACATGGTAAAGTCGTTAATAACCGACTTTTAATCAATAAATTATTAATGATAATTTGTAACTAAAGTAACAACATTATGCTTATGTAATGCAAGGCTTTTTATTTATCATAAATATGATTGTATATTTACAAACCATATGTCATTCCTATTTCTATTTAAATTATGATGAATGTTCATATGATGAATATGTATAGTTTAATTAACTAACTCTATAGTGAAAAATCTTGTTTAAATCTATTGAAATAATTAATTAGTTTATGGGTTATTTTAGAGCATTTATTGTCTTGGTTTAAGCGACCAACCATTGCTATCCATTAGCATCAATCATGTAGAAGAGAATGATGGTATTGATTTTTCAAACAATCAAGAAAATTGGTATTTTATCGATAAGCTTTAACCCTGAAGTAGTCGGGAGGGCCACTGATGTAACTAATCAACTAATAATTCTGTTGTAGACTGTTCTGCTTTCCTTCTCTTGAAAAAAATTCATTCCAAGTGGACAGCTGCCTCCTCCCCCCCCCCTCTCTTCTAGCTTGGAAAATATTTACAATCAAATAGCAATAAACTTCTGAAACACTGATTGACTGGTCTCGTTGTTAGTATTGTAAACTTTGAAAAGAAACAAATTAGAAAAAAAAGACATTCTCTACATACAAGAAATTAAATTTAAAAAATGGCCCCTTTTATTTTGAGGTTATTCTACACTATATCTTCTTGAAATAATTTTTTTTTAGTGTCTTTTAAGAAGACTCTTCTGTTTATGTTTGGACTTCCACTAAAGAAAATATTTATCTCAAACTTATTTGTTTGACAGCTATACTCTACATTTTACACGAAATATTTTACGGATATTTTTTTTCTTTTTGTATTGATGCATTTATTTATTTCAAACAGAACGTAGAGATCAGACAGATATAATTTCTTTTTTGTCCCTTTCTCCTCTTTCTTCCTTATCCATATTGCTTTCATTCGTGAAAAAAAAAGTCTTTTTTCATTCTTTTAGACTGAAGTCTTTCATTATTCTTGTATTTGGTTTCTCTTTAAACAATTCTAAAACTCTCCGATTTAAAAGTATTTTCGTCTAAAAATCTTGTTTCTTTTAGAGCCAAAACAAAAATTTATTACTTCATATTCTTATATTTTTTTTCCTCATTAAATTTTATTTTTTCTGTACAACTTGGCATATAGTTCAAATTTTGGTTTATTTTCTTTTAATGTTGATATGCTGTAGTTTTATTTTTTAGAGTTTTAAAGGATTCTTTAAATTTATTCCATATACTGTTCTGTTCATTTGGAAGAATTTGACCTACATGGCAAAGCCATTGGAGAAGAAACAAAACAGAAATGTTGAGTGTATAAAGTTTTGTTATTGTTTTAATTTGAATTAATTAATTGATTTAGGTTTCAAAATAATTCGTTCAATGTCTTGTTTCTTTATAAAAATAAATATTTATTTTTAGAACAGTATCATATCTCTCCAAACAAAGGCTAGTGTGATGTTAAAGTCATAATAAAACGCAACCGGTCTTTCCATCCCTCCTTATTTGTCTTTTATGGTTGAGGAAGAAATTCTGTACCATACCTGCAGAAGACTTTGCCAGTCCATTGTATCCCAACAATATTTTTCAAAAATGCTTATTTGAGTTTATTTTTATGTAAAATCAGGTCGATCTCGATACATAGTCTTTATATATGTTTATATTATTTTCTTAATTTTTAATTATTTATCAATTAATTTTTAGTTATTTATCAAACTACATTTTCTGTTAAAGTGTTTAACAATGTAACATTTGGAATGTTACAGAGAATTTAACTATCTTTCAAATCTGTATCTTCAATTTTCTTGGATAAGAGGTACTACTATTCAAATTTGAGCTTCATATTTAGTCGTATTTGACAATACAGTGATACCCAGTCATTGCAATAGTATAACAATTATGTAAATATATATTCACGAGTAACTGTTTATTTGTTTTTTATCTCAAATGAATAGAATGTATCTTCGGTTTATTGGAAAGTACATTTAATGGGAATTTGAGAATTCCTATCAAATTTATCAATGCGAAAACTCATTAAGTGTAGTAAATAGTAAATCTATCTATGTATCAAAAGTAGTGACATAATGCTGATGATTTCACAGAGGGTAAATTTATGAAATTACTTTTATTTAATTTTCTAAAATGTTACCTGCCGACTTTTTTAATAGACTGATGATATATAAATTTACTTCAAAAGTTTTAGAATTGAAATGAAATTCAATTTGTTAAGTAGATAATACATTACATGCATGGTTTATTTCCAAACTGAAACCTATAATTTTAAACAATTTTTCAAGAAATGCAAAAAACATTATTTTACTATTCCCAACTATTAAGTTGTCCTTTTAAGTTCTTTCCTTTTTCTTTATTAATTGTTTCAGATTGACTTAATATGTTATATATGAACTTTTATGCTCTATTATCTTCTTCCATCTTTCAGAAAACCTCTTATACCCTCTTTCCAAAATTGTTGAGACTTACTTGTAAAATATTCATAGAGATGCGTTTATATATTGTTTTTGAGTTTGAGAAAATTGTTTAATGAAAGATACAAGTGATAATCGGATGGGGCAAGGTCTGACGAGTACGGAGAATGAGGTAGAAAGTTCCAATTAAACTGCAAGTTTCTGTCTTCCAGACAATGCCGCATTTTACGTTGGCATTCTCGACAGAAACTCTTTAGTTTGATTGGGACTTTCTACCTCATACTACATACACCCCATCCGATTATTACTTGTTTCTTTTGTTAAAAAGTCTTTCCGTGATATATGTCACACACCCAATAATAAAATATTTTCGCATTTCGATAAATATTTTACAAGTCTCAACAATTTTGGAAAAAGGGAATAAGAGGCTTCCTGAGAGATAGAAGTAATAGAGCAGAACGGTTCATATATAAAACAGTAAATCAGCCTTAAACAATAAATAAAGAATAAGGAAATGAACTTATGCGACAGCCTTATATATTTTCTATTCCAATTGTAATATCAAAACTAATATTTTAATAAAAATAAATTATGAAATTCTTCATTGTTAGAAAATCACTGATTATTTCAGTAGTAATTAAAAACTATCTAAACTTGAATAGGATCACTTTTGGAAAGAATTAAACTTCAAACCCTGTTCTTAAAAAAAAAAAAAGATAATTGGTCTTTATTTAGGAGAGAAAAATGGTGTATAGTTCACGGGAAATAAGTTATAAAAATTATGCTATAAACAATTAATATTTTGTTTATAATCATGGTTCAATAAAATAAATTTATTTTGAATTTCCATTTGAATAAAACAGTTAAAAAATCTTATTTTTTTTTTTTCAAGAATACTTAATAAATGCAAGTTTCATTACATTTCTTAAAAAAGACAAAGGTGTTTTGGAAATAAACTTATTTTCACACTGCTTAGTAAAATATTTCTATACTGTTTTTACTTTCACTTACGTATATATGTAATATATAGTAAGGGTAAGTATTGCGATCAAGAAAATTTATTAATCTGAGTTTTCAACGGAAATCACATTTTTAGGTACCCTGAGTCGAAATGACCAAGTCCCGAAAAATGGTCTGTTTGTCTGTGTGTTTGTATGTTAGCAGTCTAGCTCAAAAATGAGAAGTCCTACGAAACTGATATTACGCATTTAAGATAGGTATATGCCTTAGATGTGACAGCAACTTTTTCCTTAAAATCGGCTAACCGGAAGTGCCACTTTATATCAACGCTGAAACACATTTTCACAATTTTCTCAAAAACGGCTCTAAGGATTTTGATTAAACTCGGCGTATCAATGTATAATTAAGTGGTCTTTAATATCAATTAGGTCTTATCCCAATTGATGTCACTTTACAGGGCTTAAATGCCTTATGTTCATATACGTCTTCCTCTTAAAGTACCTTTAATATGGTTTATTTTAAAAAGTTAATCATTTCACATTATTCAGTTACGAAAAAATGCTAAATATAACTTTTGAAAGAATTTGATAAGTTAATAAAGGAGAATAAAAATAAAAATGCAGGAAAACCTGCATTGCTATAGACTGTAGTGCCTAAACGAATGTACCGATCGTACAATCCATAATCCATGATCGAGCAATCCATAATCAACGAATCGTACAATCCATAATCAACTGATGATATAATAAATAGGACTTTTGTTATTTTAATAGTGTTTATGATTTGTTAGCTGCAATCTTTTAGCTTTAGCTCAGTTAAAAATGCAATTAAAAACATTTTATAATAGCAACATGGCCAGAAAATAATTTCTATTCAAATTTGAGCAAAGTTCAAAGAGTAAGCGAAAGTTGTGTGTTGTGCGTACCAGATTTTTAATTATAAGTTTTGGAAAAAAAATAGCAATTATCGCATTCATAGAGTGATTTTACATGGGATTCAATATTCTCAATTTCCATAAAAATCAATTAAGGTTCATATTTTTATACTTACTTTTAACATAATAATGTATACACATTAAAATGCAATAATAGTCGCTAGACTATGGAAATCGGCAATATGGCTTCTGTATTGAATGGTTTATACAGACTTATTTCAAAAGGTTTCTTAGGAAATACAATTTAAAAAAATCATAATGAAACTGATAAGAGAAATAAAACTCAATAGATTTCACTATACATATAATATATTTTAAAATTATATAATCTAAAACTATGGCATATATGATAACAAGAGGTTCTATCTATACAAGTGAAATGCAAACAAATTGATGGAAACATTTTCTGAAATTTAAGCTTATTTATTTATTCATATGTAAATACAGTCTCTTCATTGGAATATTCGGCAGTAATGATATAATATTTTTTATAAGTGTTTGTGGAATATACCAAGATAACATTTCTTAAAAGGTAATTTTGTACATAAAAATTATACAATATCAAAACTTAAATAAATTGTGTAACATAATTTTTTTTTTATGAGCAGGGGGGGAAAATATTTAGCTAAATTTCAGTTAACATATGCAACTCAGAATAGAGTTCAAATACTTAATCCCTTCATTTTAATGTACAATATAGGGCATGATGAGTGTAGTGTACATTTAAAAAAAAAAAATCGTATTTACATTTCTATTTTTATATACATACATTTATGTAAAATCATAAATCCACAAAACAATTAACATACCTTCAATTAAGCCATAAATATAATTAAAACAATTAAATGAGCAGCATTTAAAATCTTAACGACAAATCTTTTTGATTTTTTTTTTTGTTTTTTTATTATTTTTTTGTAATGAAATCAGTACTCAGTTAATTGTCGATAATTTACATTCAAACAAATTAAATAAAATATATGTAATATTTGAACCCCACTGTTTACTCTGTTGAAAAGATAATTAAATAAAGCCTGTTTCATGTAACCGAATGAAACTTGGTATTTGAACCTTAAAAATTATATAATGCACATTAATTTTATGTTGAGCAATTAAAATAATTTGTTCTTAAATATTATTCAATGAGCAAGGGCTTTGAAGCTATTTGACTAGATCTCTATTTGGTCAACTACGTAAAAAGAAAAGAAAAATGAAAAGTTTATGGCAACGAATAACATTTTTATAATCCTTAATATTATAACATACTTCGAGCCCTTTGAAGAATTAATAATTCCAAAATAAAAATAAAATAATTACAAATTTAATCATAATATGTTAATGTGCATTTCTAATAATGGAATGTAAAAACAAATGTGGCATGGTCTTTTATAAAGTTCAGACTATATTATAATGATACACTTGCATTGTAGTTCTGTAAGGAATTCATTAACTATAATTTAAAAATAATTAACAGTCATACAATTACCTTTAATAAATATATATCTAATAGTATTATTATTACTTTATATAGGTTACAATAAGAGGATAGAAAATAGTTATAATTAAGTTTTAAAGATATTGTGACAAATGAGAGAGAGAAGGAACATGGCTGCTTAGGAGTATAATACATCTTTAAAGCTATAGAGCTGAATACAATTAAATATAAATTAAATTAAAAGAGACTGATTATAAATATTTTAACATATATATATAATAAATAATTACATTTACAATAATCGAATCTTAACACTTTTAATATACAAAAAAATAATAATAATAATAATAATGTTAAAACATCACTTTCTTACACACACTTCGACAATGGGAACATAATAACTTACAAATAAATGAAAGGAACTCTTTATGTTTGACTTTTGTATAAAGGTGGACTTAAACATTATACCATGTGGTTAAGTAAACACATAGGGCTCTAACATTACATTAGATCTAGGAGGAAAAAAATGATAAAAAATAAAAATAAAAAAATAAACCGACAGGATATAAAATTCCACACTAATAGGATATTTAATATATATATATATATTTATTTTGTTGTCGATTTTCATTCTGGATAGAGAATGAAAACAACCATAACACTTTACAATTAATTAAATTAGATAAATATTTTAATATATATTTTTGAATATATATAAGGATACAGCTTAAAGCTTGTTCAAAATTCACTTAGCCTAACTTCTAAAAGCCTAAAGCAGACTTCATTTGTTTAAAGAAAACATAGTTTGATAATAAAACATTTTCACTAACAGACGCTATGACAGTTCCTGTTAAAAGCTCCTCAAACTATAAGTGGCTAACCTTCGCTAAGAAAAATTAAAAGTGAATATTAATAAAACATGAGTAGAAAAACCCTAGTTACTAAATTTTATGTAGGACGTAACGTTGAACACTCTGGTTTTTGTTTTGTTTTTTAGGACCATCAGTTGCCATGATCGATTTCATAACAACTGGAATGATTGAGGTACCATATTCAAGGTAATTAAAAATTAAAAACGTAAGGAACAATTGTTTTTATATTAGTAAAAAACAAAAAAAAATATATAAAATAAAAAAAGAGAACTGAAAATTTGATTTATTAAGATTAGTTCAAATCGTAAACCTGAGAGAATAAACTTTAATGGCAGCTCAGAGTTGCGTTAATAAACTTAACATTTAACATTATGAATTATCAGTCAGGATAATCTTTATTCAGAAGTATAGTATATTCATAAGCTTAGTATGATCTGCTTGATGAAATGCTTTAAAAATGGCACTAAAAGTGTACGGCGAGTACACAAAATAAAATGTATACAATTATTTAAGATTAGAAAATAGTCCTTTTTATACACTTTAGAGCACCTCAAAAGGTCCTAAAATAAATTAACTAAAAACGACACACATTAATTATTTCCTTATTATTCCATCAAAAAAAGAAAAAAAGAAATTAAACAAGGCAAAATATGCTTTCTAGAGCTTCCCTACCACATCTCGCATTCAACACAACCCTCGACCTCTGTGATATGTGTAAAAAGGCAAAAATTACCTAACAATATTATTAAACTTTATCAATAGCCTGGTAACTCTGATTAGAACCAAATACATATTATCTTGGCAATACGATATGTTGAAAATCATTCTTCAAACAGAAACCACCATGCACTTTAGCCATTCTAGGATCCTATATTTTTTTAATTTAATTTCAATTTAAAAACCATGCACCGAACTTCATTGTAATCTTCAATCCAATATACATATTTACACATTAACTAAAAAATAAAATAATTATAATAACAACCTTTAGACAACACTATTAAACACATTGTTATTATTATTATAACATGTATATAATTAACGCTAATACTTTTTAATAAATGTAAATTATATTAAAAAATTATGACAAAATGTGGTCAATAATGTTGTCTAAATTTAGGAAGTGTATCTGACAAGAGGTCGTGTACACTGTTCAATGAAGAGACTTATTCGTACATTTCGCAAAATCTATCTCTGCATAATTGAAAGGTGAACTGTCCGAAGGAAGGCTTGGGCTGGGGGAAGATGAGGATTCCGTGCCCGTCCGAACGGTCCTACTGGACTCTTCACTTTCTGAACCTGATTTTACCAGGTCAAGGGAAGCATAATGCAGCTCTTTCTTCCTTCACAAAAACATTAAAGTATTAAATTTTAAAGAGGAAAGGTTAAAATATAAAGGAGGTATAATATAGAAAAAAAAAAACCAATATCAATTCACAAGACTTTCCTTAGGGTGGAAAGTTCTATACAAAAATTATCTTCTCTAATATAAATTACCATGGAGGACGAATTCTATCAATTAATAAGCAAGAATAACTACTGGTACAATGAATCTTTCAATTACGAATGTACAAGTTGAGGAAACGGAAGGGGGGGTTGATCATTTCTACATCCTATGATGAATTAAAATGAAGAATTAACATATAAGTCTAGCAAAATTTGTACTGCCGAGAGGTAAGGGAATGGAATGATAGAAATAATATTAAAAGATTTTATTGTTAATTTAATTTTTTTTTTTTTTGTTTCTTTTGTTTTGTAATAACCAAAATTTGTACAAATTTGTAAATTTGTAGCAAAATTTGTACTGCCGAGAGGTAAGGGAATGGAATGATAGAAATAATATTAAAAGATTTTATTGTTAATTTAATGTTTCTTTTGTTTTGTAATAACCAAAATTTGTACATTTTAAAAATTGGTACAAATTTGTAAATTTGTAGCAAAATTTGTACTGCCGAGAGGTAAGGGAATGGAATGATAGAAATAATATTAAAAGATATTATTGTTAATTTAATGTTTCTTTTGTTTTGTAATAACCCGTTTTTACTTTAAAGTTTGGATTTATAGACAATTTAATCCAGTTTAAAATAAGCATTTTAATCAAGTCAATGAATGATTATAGAGAAAAACTGAAGGAACACAATTTTTGACTTAGAGTCTTTGTTTGGTCCCTAGTTAGGAGGTAAACATACCAAAAGTCCCCAATCTTAAGTGAGCAATGGAGTGGGAGGGGAACACCCAGGTTACTTTTTTTTTTCTTACAACAGTGTAACTATACATCCTAGCAACAAGTATTAATATTAATTAAATAATACAATTAAAATAGTAATATTAAACTGTTATTTCGAGTTCTGAGCTGAATATGAATATTTTTTATTATTAAAAACAAAAAAATGCTATCCCAATGATATTTATATTTTCAATCACTTTAATACTATAGCAGCTCCAATTTTTGCAAGTAAGTAACTCATTAGAAAAAATTCATTAATTCCAAAATTTAATAAGTGACACTTACCCATTAGGAGAAAGAGTAGAGGCTGAATGCTTTGAATCTTCTTTAGGAGACATTATTGTTACGTTTCCTAAACCTGAGAGAAGCCTATCCATAGGGCTCACTTCAGTATCATCGTCATCTTCCTCGTTATAGATACGCAACTCGCCCGAGGTTCCATCGACAGGACACTTTGCAGGAGGTTCGTATCCATCCGGGCTGAATGGGAAAATGCCTTGATCGTCCCTCCTACTGCTGGTGGTACTGGTGCTGCTGATGCTATTGTTGCTGAGGCTCTTGTGGCTCCACCTGGGAGAGCCGCTCAGCGACAGGTGGAGGGGGCCCTTGGGTGGCGTGCCAGTCGAGTGCTTCCTTCCTCCCGACAGGGCGAAGATAGGCAAGGAACTTGGTTCCTTCGGGCCTTGGATGGTGATCGGTTGGCTTCCTCTTCGACTGCCTCTCCTTTCCTTGCTGCCCATGTTCATGACCATGTAACTGCTTTCTTGGTCAGCTTTAGGTCCGAGGGTCATCTCTACGTATTCGTCAGGTTGAGGAGCCATTACCTTAGTGTTATTGTTGTCCTCAGTGATGGACATTTTCCTCTTAAGGCTCATATCGAGATAATCGTCCTTATTCCTTCCCGAGAGAAGAAAAGGCTTAATAGGAGGTGATGTAACCGGAAATGAATCTACTCTTACTTTAGTATTCATCGGTACAATATGTTTGGGATCGCCAGGTTTCATTTCCATGTAGCCTTCCCCGCCTTCAGGAACCCTACTGAGAGAAGGTGATGGGTGTCCTGGAGGAGAAGACTTGGGTGGCGACTTTCCGAAGCACTTCTTGGGAGGAGACATTTCCATATAACTTCCTTCGGCTGTAGAGTATGAGCTAGCAGCAGAAGATAAAGTGGATGCACTACTTCCAGGAACACTTAACCTTTCAGAACTATTAGCTTTCTTTCTTGCTCGACGGCCCTTTTTACTGAAGTCTAATTCCATCATATCGTCACAGGGTTCCATTGACGAGTGGCTAGAAGATGGTGGTATGCGACCAAATACATGCACATTTCGGGAGCCAACTGAGAAAGCACGAACTCTTTCACAGGTACTTGAGCTTAATAATTCAGATCTGTGGACAAAGAAATGAGTAAAATTCATTAAGATGTATCTATTTACAGAACACTTCTCTATGAGTCTCTTGTTTCTAATGTGAACCCTAATATATTGAAGTGTAATTATTTCGAAAAGCAGCCTCATTTAAGTTTTAATGTTTTTGAATTACTATTGAAATATTCAGTGGTTTTTGAAAATATCTACAATTAAAGAATTTCTTAATTTATTCTTTTTAAATATTGCTTTAGTTATTACAATTTGAACAGATAATTGTTTTTTGCGTTTACTAAAAATTTGTCAATGATTAGGGTTCACTTTCAAGGACTCATATCAATAATTCTATTAATTATACTAATAAATAATGCAGCTGCCATTCCGGACATCAAAGAATATTTTAATCTCTTTCTTAATGATTCAAGAAAGTTGTGTGAAAATTTCACTTCCATCAGCCAATTAGATACAAAGATAGAATGGATTAAGTAATCTGTTTTTTTAAGTGATTTTGGCAATCATTAAAAAAAAGTGTGTGGCAGTTTCATCCTTATTAGGTATAAACTTTTCATCATTTTATTTCATGGCAATAAGATGATAAGTCCATCGTATGAGTTATAATCAATCAACAAAGCCAAGGGAAAAATTGAGGTCAAGGAGAAAAACGCAGAAACGGAAAAAAAGAATAACAAGGTGGAGAAAAATATGTCTTTAGGAAAAAAGCAATGGATGTTTTTACAGAACAAAGAGATCTATTTTATGCCTCTTGTTTAAATAATAAAATATAAGATAATGTTTAAAGCTTAAATAGAAGAAGAAAAAAATACTTGCTGTCATTATTTGATTCTCTGATCAAACAATACCTCAAAAGATAGATAGAAAGCAAAACAGTGTAAAACCAATCGAACATCATGCACAAATTGTTATATAACCTGAAAGTTAATAGCGCGCCAACATAAATTTTGGAGTGATTGCAGCAACATCCTCAATTATTGATAATAAATAACCACTTATAGCAAGAAATTTAAAAATAATAACTTCAACTAAAATATCTATCTCATAAAAAAATTGTTATACAAACGGCTTGAGAAAAAAATCTGGTGTGTCCACACACATGACATTCTTACAGATTTAAGACAAATTTAAACGACAAAGATCCGTTGAAAAGCGCACATTAGAAATTTGATCTTAACACAATACTTTCCTTACCCAGAAGCGGTAGGAAAGAGATAAAATAAAACATGTGTAGAAAATAGAATACGCTGCATCATTACTATTTTATCATTGCAAAAAAAATTAAACATAAAGATGCGTACAAATTTTATTAATGTGTACAAATATGTGAACTCACACATCAGAATTTATTTATAATTTCGTATGTCTACCAGTGAATTTTCTTTATTTTAATTTTTAATTTTAGATCTTGATAACTTTGTATTTAATTTATTCCTAATTATTTCTAATGTCATTAAATTGTACATTGTAGTTGTTATAAGGGAACTTAGTCCCACAATAAAATTTAAAATCTCCTCTGGCACCAAGCCGCGAACTCAAACTTTTTTTCAATCTCAAAACTTGGTTATCTAGTTGAAGGGCAACACACAGAGCTGTAAAGATCCATTGACCCAACCGCATTACTTTCCTTAACTTCAGCGGTACGAAAGTAAAAACAAATGTTTCAACAAGTTATTAAACAACCATCAAATAAAAAAACTAAAGTATAAATACAAAATATAACAGTAACAATGTACTCACCTATTAACATTTTGGCTTGGCCTGGAACCCACCGAATAGGCTCGAGCGGGCCTTTCATTAGGCGTTAGGTCGATTGCAGGATCCGCATCGCTAGGAGGAAAGAAAGCTGACACTTTATCAAGTGCATACTCAGAAAACCGTATGTCCGTTGATGGGGTGCCAGATGTGATCGAACCACAGGAACCTGAAATTATCAGAAAATAAATATTCAGTTAAAAAATGAGAACTATCTTACTGTACCACATGAAATGTCGTTTAAATTCGGGATGGCAATAATAAAGTAGGTAAGAATGAAATTTATTTATATTAATTACTCAAAACATATACTCCTGGGAGCTTTTATTTAATTCTTCTACCAATAAGCAAGTTTTTTAAATGCCCTATTTATAAAAGGTTGGAGTATAAAATAAATTCTTGGAAGATATTTTATTTTACCATTTTAAAAAATTTATTTAGTTGAAAAAAAAAAAGTTAACTAATCATTGATTGGTTAGATGACATTAAGATTTGCAAGTCTTAGAGATTTTTAAAGACAATTTTGGCCTAAACTCATACAGTTTTGATCCATATTTGAAATCACATTTCCAGTCTAATTAATAATAAACCAATTATTATTTCATTTCTACATTTTATTAATGTCACTCTGAAAACCGATATTATATTTGATATAATCAGGTAGATAAGAAAAATAGTAGTCTGTAATAAAAAGTTAATAAATACATTGTAATATACAGAAACAGACAAATATATATGGTAGATTAGTCACAAAAAATTCACATACCACAATAAATTAACTGAACACAAAGATTAAAATTTAACATGACACAAGAAAAACATTATACCACACCCGTTAAACAAAACAAAATCCCATAATGATTAGCTATTGCCATAAAATGATGATAGGTGTATTAATGTGTATGATTGTTAGTCATTCTAAATTAATCACATCCCTAATTTAATCAATCAAGTTATTCTAACAACATCAAGAGGCTGAAGTAGACTACAGCTAAAGTTTAATCACTTTAAAAAAAATCTTAAGTTATTTCACGAATAAAGCGATATCTAAAAAGTCGATACCAGAACCAAAAAATATTCAAAACAAAAACTATTTTTACTTATGATTATCAATATGTAATCAAGTAACAACATGTATTACTAGTAAACCAATCCAACAGGTATACTTAACACTAAATTTATAGCAATAAATACAGATATACAGTTCAGGCAAATAAAAACTAAAAACATGAAAAAAAATGAAAATTATTCATAGTTTTATATTCCTATCAGTACAAATATCTATTCTAATTAAATTCATTATAATTACAGTGTATCCATCAAAATGAACTTCAGTAATGAAAAAAAACATAGTACAATTATCTTTGAAACTTAAGACTTGAATGTAACTGTGGTTTCAAACAGTGTATATTTAATCTTATTAATTAATGGTATATTGGTCGAAAAATGAAAATAAGAGATAAAACTTTGACAACCTTGTTTGTTGTTCTGGACTGATCCTTGATCCATATCCACATAGCCATCATCGGAGGCAGCTGGAGCCATAGGAACATAACCATCTTCGGTTAAGCTGCTTCCTCGACTATGATTTACTACGGTATTTCTCAGGTAACGATTGTCACCTAGAAAAGTAAATTTCCATCAAACTAAGTATTGCAAAAATAACAAGTAAATATCTTAAATCTAATAATATTGCAAGAAACTTTTATAATATAATTAAGAAACTCTTGTAGAAGAAATTCTACAACACAAAAATAAAAAAAAAGTTCCTATTATTTAATAAAATAAAATAAATCATAACAATTAACATGAACCATTGTTGTTTTTTTCGAGTCTAGTAGACACTCTGTTTTTCAGTTAAACTTGAATTAAATAAAATAATTTAAAAAATAAACCATATTAAAGGTACTTTAGAGGAAGACATATATGAACATTGGGCATTTAAGCCCTGTAAAGTGACATCAACAGGGATAAGACCTAAATGATATTAAAGACCACTTAATTATACAATGATACACCGAGTGTAATCAAAATCATTAGAGCCATTTTTGATAAAATTGTAAAAATGTGTTCCAGCGTTCATATAAAGTGGCACTTCAGGTAAGCCGATTTTAACAAAAAAGTTGCTGTCACATCCGGCCCATAAACAAACCTTAAATACTTAATATCAGTTTCGTACTACTTTTCGTTTATGAGCTAGACTGTTAACACCCACACACACAGACCATTTTGTGACACTTGGTTATTTGGACTCAGGGGACCTCAAAACATGTATTTCTGTTGAAAACTGAGGTTTGAAATTTTCACGATCGCAATACTTACCCTTACTATATATTACATATACATGTAAGTGAAAGTAAAAATGCATATTGATAAATATAAATAAAATATTACAAACCTGGACTCATTGGAAGGTAGTTACCAGGTGTATCTAATGGAGAGGAACTGTAGGGGCTGTACATGTCCATTCCTGAGCCCTGAGAAAATAATAATTATTTTTGAAAAAATAATGTAAAATGTAAATTTATTAATTAAGCAATGGTGATCATATGATTAAGCCTATCTAAATATATGCATTTGGCAAATGTCAAAATAATGAGGTTATATAGGCCAAATGACCCAATATTTTTGTAGGCCACCTTTTTTCTTAATTCTGTGATCAAATTACCTTATGATTTAAGTGGAAAGCAGATGGGTATTTACGAGTTTCTAGTACCTAATTAAATAGACAAAGTTTTCCGATCTCCATATTAATAGCGCCCCAATTGCAAGAGTTTTCGTAAATTAAGTAGTTGGAGGTTAGGATAAGATGAAGTTATTCACAAAGTTTCAAGCGGATGTTAATAATTAGATAAGAAGAGGCCTGCATCCCAATAATCACTTCTTAAGTAAATTGGTTACTTTGAAAGTTTGTTAAACAAGACATTTTTGATTTTTTTTTTTTTTTTTTTTTTTTTGTGACAAAATGAACTGTGGCCATGAAATCCTATTGTGTGCCCTAATTTAAATGGTGCTACTAATCATAACATTATTTCGACAATATCAGCAAGTAGAAGGAGACTTGTCGGTATGACAAGCTCATTGTGCTTGGAGTCTGATGCTCTGTCATTCCCAAACAATGTAAGTCTAATCCCGGGGCGAACCTACCGCACCAACAGATAATGTGATAAGCAGTTTCATCCTTCTGGCCATAGAACCTAGATTAACTCCATTAGCCTGAGTTTAAACATGTTGATAGTTCAGTTTACAGTGACCTCTATAGATCACCGTAATTTTCTTACGAAAATTCTTGCTCAGGTTAATTACTAGAGATTACATCTCTTTGCACGAAACCCGTTCAGGAAAAACCTAGAATGAATCTGTTTTTTGGGAGCACTAATATTTCTTAGATTCCTCACCAAAAAACCTCCCCAATTTTTCTTTTGATTAGATTATCTTGATAATATTTTATTTTATATAAGAATAATTATATTTTGCTTGTCATATCACTTATAAGTTGAGTTGATTATGGCGATGGGTAACTATTTAATCGCAATTATCTTACTTTTCATTTTAAAAAAATTTATTATAAAATTATTTTGAATTACCTGTGAAGGGGAACTGGATTTGAAACCACTGCTACTGGGGTTAGGCGAGTGCTTCCTGTTCAGCGTACTGTTCGACTGAATAGAAAGGCAGTAAGAAGGCTCCATCGGCATGTAATTGTTAAGTTTTTCATCTTCCCCTGAAAAATATGATTAATCAAATAAAATGTTTATAAAAGAGCATCAATTGAATGTTGATACATGTAATGAACAGCTACAACTTTCATTAGAATGATGTCTACCCATATTATTTATAATCCTGACCTGAAGATGACTATTACAAAATGAGCAAGAAATAGCAAATTTTGCTCTTTAGACTCAGAACGGGTCATGACAGAATGAGGGCACACCTTTAAGAGAAATTTAAAAATATATAAAAGCCCTCTCTGTAATCACAGGACAAAGGATCAAAACATAGAGCATATTCTTCAGACATGCCCTGAACCGGAGGACATCAGGAAGCAAATTTGGCCAAACCCTACTGACATGGCGATGAAGCTCTACAGTGGTCTGGGTGACCTCTGGAAGACCTTCGAGATTATACTTTTAAGCCTGGACCTGACCATTTGAAGGAAGTTCGAAGAAGAAGTAACTACAACTGTCTAACAAAAGAGGTTCTAATACTAATATCATCTCATTATTTTTCTATAGGATGTTCACATAAGTTATGGAATTCATTTTTTTTTTTTTTTTCTTACAAATAATTGAACATTGAAGAATCAAAAATAATGTTTTCTTATAATGCACTTGGACTAATTTCAATAGAATAGATGAGTTACACTGTTGTAACAACTTTCAGGAACTACCATATGAATATCACATACACACTTCTTTTTTTCAGTTGGCATTGCAGGCTTTGTTGATCTTTTGCCGCTTTAACAAGCCTAATCCATGTCTGCCAGTCTTGGGCTATTTCTTTCCATTTATCCAGTTATACAGCTCTACTGGATCTTTGTTGATTCAATCTATCCATCTACTATTTGTCCTTCCACGTGGTCTTTTACTCACTATTAAGACATTTGTTGTCATGTAGAGGCTTCCAGATGGATTGCTTCGGGTTTTATACCCAGTAGTCCGCCTTCTTAATCTCAGTGCCTTCATATCATACACAATATAGATTGATTAATTTCTGTAAGCAGCTCTTGATTGGTCTTTCTTCTCCAATGTGTTAGCACTCTGATCCTAGATCGCTCCAGTTATCATGAGGAGGATTTTGCTATTGAATCTTTCTACGGCGCTGTTTAGTGTCCAGAACTCACAGTCATATACTAGAACTCGCATTATCATAGCTGCAATATTAGGTTCAGTTATTTTATTTTAATTCATTGATTACATTTTATGACTAGAAAATTAAAAATAAATATACTTGATAAATTGAAGACTGGACATCAATAAAGGGCTAATTATTGATTTTAAAAAATGGTACTAAAAAATCATATCTAAGGTTTATCTTCATCGATAGTATCAATAGTTCAAACTTAGTAAGGATGTGACATGACCGACCACAAGTTATATAGTAAATATAAATCCAAAAAAAATCATTTAAGTTTCCAAGTATGGATTTTGATGCAAATTATTATCAAACAATGACTGCAGATTAAGTTGTATTAAAAAATCTTTCCTTCTTCGTCATGTCTCAGAAATCACAACATACCACAAAATTACAGTAAATAAGTGAAACCTAATGCATTGAGGCTGACAGACTGCTTACAATGCATTCTGACACTCAAACCCGAGAATTTCTCACAAAGATGCATAATGTTAAAATAGACAGCTCAGGTAAACATAAGCCCGTTAATGGGATCAGTTGTTACACTGATGGGTCACTTATGACATGCGGATCTGGAGCTGGTTTCTGGAGAAGGGACAAACCAGAGGAGGGCATGTCAATAGCACTTGGAAATTACGCAACAGTGTTTCAATCTCAAATACTGGCAATAACTCACTGTGCTTCAAAAATGCTGCTTGACGGGTTAGCTGGGAGGAGAATAGCAATATATACGGACAGTCAAGCGGCCATACAAGCACTAGATAACTATACAACTAGATCCAAGGTAGTTGGGGATTGTGTCAGAATTCTCAACAAATTATCTAGACTTAATAAGGTATACATTGAATCGGTTCTGGGTCCCTCGGGAATTCATGGTAATGAAATGGCTGATGAACTAGTCAGACAAGGCTCTCAAACAACACCAATAGCACCGGAACCCATCTGTGGTATTAGTCAGTGTCTGACAATAAACAGAATCGGGGAGATATATGGTGCTGAAAACAGAAGGAACTGGTCTTTGAAAAAGCAGACCCACTCAAGACTGTTTCTGGAAGGAATCTGCCAAAAAAGAACCAACTTACTAATTAATTTGAGCAGGAGCTCAGTTAAGAAAATTACAGCAGCATATACAGGGCACTGTAAACTAAATTATCATATGTTCAGAATCCGGCTCACAGAGTCATCTCTTTGTAGGTACTGTGGCCGGGAGGATGAGACAGCGTATCATGTGACTTGCTGGTGCAATGGGTTTGCTGGCCTAAGATTTCATTTATTCGGCACTGATAGGGAAAAGGATCCCAAGGCAAACGAACTTATCAATCCAACAAGCTTATTACAGTTCATAGAGACTGTAGGAATTACACTCTAACTGAAGTGACTTAAAACTAGGCTACAATAGGTCTACATGGCCATAGTGCACTCTTGCCGCAAGAAAAAAAAAAAATAACCGAATGCATTGAGAAATAAATATTTAAAAAATGACAGAAAAACATTTTATTAAAACACACTAATTGTTGGGGAGAAAGGACCAAGACCAGCAAACAGTAATAATAAACAATACATCATTCAAAAATCTATTATAAACTAGTTAAATAATGAATGAATAAAAAGAAATTTCTAACATAGGATTAATAAATTAAAATAAACTCACCTGGCCAAGGAGCGTAGTCATCCAAATTTTCTTCAAGGATAACCGGTTCATCAGGAGTAAGTGAATACCTCCCACTTTCTTCCCAAGGTACGTCTGGGACATCACCATCCATGGACAACGAGGACTCAGCTGAATCGGTCGAGCAAGCCACACTTGCTGGACTATTAACAAAGATAAAACAGACAAAAATTAAAATAACAACATTAATTGATAAAATATTCGAAAATCAAATGGGTGGTGGAAAAAACATTTAGTGTATTTCTTGAAAATTTAATTTTACAGAGGATGGATGTTTATTCAATTATTTCAATATTTTAATTTTTACGATCAACTGCTGGACTATCTTGTATAATAATAATAATGTCAACTATGAAATATATTATATTTTATAGTTGACGGTGTTATTAATGAGGAAGATGGTCGAGGTGGTGATCAAGAGGAACAAACAATAGTAAAAACTATTTATTTAAATTATATCTTATTGAGTTTTCTGTTTGAAAATTTTCAAAATGTATAAATACGCTGTATCGTGTATATACATATATATTTTTTAAGAATCGATTAGATGCAAATTATTAAAAAATATAATAATAGAATTTTCGTCAATGGGGAGTACTTACCTGACTGGGCTGGAAACAACAGGAGGTGAATAATTGTTAATCGCCTTGTTGTACATGGAGTGAGGTCGTATGTGGCCCTGAGGAAAGTGAATGAAGTGAGCACTCTCGCTCGTTGTTCGATGGCGAGAAGGCATCGAGTCACTTCTCTCGCGAGAATTGGATATCCCTGTATAAATGTAACTTAAATTAATATTGACCATTAAAGAAAGCATTAAAAATAAATCAAGAATTTGTTTTTTTATGCAACAAAATATTACAGCCATCACATATAATTCACCTATATAACTAAAATAAGTTGAATAAATCTATAAAATAAAATCAAAATATTTTCTTCATCGCCAAGGTTTAAGAACCTTTAATTTTATTACTGTGTTTTATGTCTCTGAAGAATGCTGCATCTTAGAGAATAGTTTTACTTTACAACCACCCTTAAAGCTGTTATAGGAATTATTTATTTGTTAAAAACTATTTGTAATATTCTTAGGACCACAAGATCCTGGCTATGTAAGGAACGTATTATGATCAGGTCAAATTTTTTCTCTACAAGATCTTTACATTTAAGAGACAAATCAGTCCCAAAAAATGATATTTGGACAAAGGTGTCAGCAACAAGTGTCTCACTAAAGGATAGAACCAATTGTTTTATTAATGTGTATGGTTCCGATGACATGTATGTTTTCCTATAGGTACCCTGATCAAAAAATACATATTCATTTCTAAACATAGCAAGTGAATGAACGAAATTGAATAGTTTTAAAATCAATTGAAACTTTATGCTGGCCAATGAGAGTGCAGTATTACTAGGTATATTCAACATGTCAGTTGTAATCCTTGACCCTTTAATGTCAGTGGACTAATATATGGATCGAGAAGGAATTTAGCCCAGACTCATATGAGACAGTGGACTCATATGTGAGTTAAAAGCCTGTCAGGCTCATTCTGTTTAAATAACAGGGTGCCTCAGTGATGAATTCTATTTTTGAACTATTTTGAGGCTTTTCTATGAGGCAGTAGGTTAAAACCAGAGATGGGGCATATCTGAATCAATGAATACATAATTACAACTGAAAATAAAACTTAACGACCACACCAACTTTACACCTGATTCAATAGCACTTAAACTAAAGCATAAATGTGACACAATTACCTGATTACAATAGTCATCGGAAACCTGAACACTGTAATAACGTAATCAAGATCATTGTAATCATAATCATAATGACAGTAATCGTAATGTGGGCTACTGCTTTCCAGTTTGTGGCATGAAGCTCAGCCCTATCTTTGTTTATGCTATCTATACATCTGGTTTTTGGCCTCCCACATGGTCTCTTGCCTACTACTCTGGCATTCATTGTCGTGTAAAGGCGTCCAGACGGATTGCTACGAGCTACATGCCCTGCCCATTTTAACCTCCCTGCCTTCATGTCATGAGATATTGACTGACCCGTTTCTTTCAACAGTTCTTTATTGTTCCTTCTCCTCCATGTGTCAATATTCTAGTCCCATATAGGTCCTGTTATCCTACGTAGAACTTTTCTTTCGAATCTCTCAATTCTGGCTTCTAGTGTGCTGGTTAGAGTCCAGGTTTCTCAACAGTACAGCAGAACTGGCTTAATCAAGGCATTGTACATCCTAATTTTGAGATTTCTGGATTTCAGTACCTTTGAAAGAGAGAAGAAAGATCTGTTCGCACTTGTTATTCGCTGGTCTATCTCTGTTAGTTGATCATTTATTGAGTTTATTGTGGAGCCGAGGTATTTGAATCTGTCTACTTTCATGAATGACATACAGTCCACGAAACCATGTTATTAGGGTGGATGTTTCGGCTAACTATCATGTATTTTGTTTTATCTACATTGACCTGTAGTCCGATTTGCTCTGCTTCTTTTAATAGAGCTCGAGCGAGTCTCTATATAGTTATACAGCTATATCATCGGCATATGCTAGGATTTTATATTTCATTTCCAACGTGCACCCCTCAATCTTCGTGTGATGTTATTCTCATTACTTTCTTGAGTGCTAATTTGAACAGCATCGGCGAGAGTCCATCTCCCTGCCTCAAACCCGTTCGAACTTCAAAGGCTTCAGATACTTGTCCTATTTGTATTAAACTTTTTTAATCAGATATTTTAATAGAGTTCAAGTAATAAAATGATAATTTAAAAATAATGCTGGAAAAAATTATTCAATCCAATTTTTAATTATTAAATAGATAATAAAAAATTATATGCATCACACTTATAAATTAACATAATTATTAGTAATCTAATGCAGGCTAACATAATAACTTTAAATTTTTAATACAATTTTACCATTTCATACAGTTGATAGACTAATTGAAAACTGTACATAAAATAGCAATTACAGAATAGCAAACCGAAAGCAAAGTGTGTTAATGGCTTATTTATTTCTACAAAATATTATAGCTAAAATTGCTAGCAACTACATAATACATGCACCTATAACCTATATACATTTAAAGTTTCATATCTATTAAGGCATATTGGAAGATCAAGAAAAAATGAAGATAAAAGAAGTATCAAGAGATTTCCTGCTTTAATTATTAAATTATTTTATTTTTAGATAAAATAATACATATGAATTTTCACTTGCACAACAGTTTTTAAACATAGCATATATATTTATTTATATTATAAAGTATAAGTATCTATTGATAAAAATTATTAGTTAAATATTCTCGACTAGGAGAACATGGTAGTTTTTGTTTTTTAACAGAGCCCAAAAATATCCTAACATTTTGAATGCAATATTTTTTATTTTATTTTTGGATGCATCCATATATTCCTCCCCTTCCCTATTGAGCCCAAATACTTAAAATTAAAAAAAACCTTAACTTATTATAATGATGTAGAGATGGTTGACCATTGATATAATATGAGTAGGAGTTGTTCAGGGGGGTGCGGTCAAATTAATAATAAATTAAACAAGTAGAATTATTTAATTTTTGCCGACGTTTGACCCACACTTTGCAGGTCTCCATCCTACGCCCTGATGAAGACCTGCAAAGTGGGTCGAAACGTCGGCAAAAATTAAATAATTCTACTTGTTTAATTTAGTATTAATTTGACTGCACCCCCCTGATCAACTCCTTCTCTTAACTTATTATGTTTCATTTACTGATTTTTAAATCCAATTTAATTTTAAACAGGCCCTACAAACTAGAAACTAGCAAAATAAAATATTACAGAACATAAAACAGACTTTGAAAAAGATAATCAGGAACACCCATATACTATGCTAAAAAATAAGTATTGAAAGAAATAAAAATTTTAAAAGAAACAATTAATAATTTATCGATAATAAAATATATTACTTTTTCTATAGAGGAATATATTGTTCAATGTTGAAATTATAAAGATGAAAAATGGTTAGGATGTGCAATAAAAAAATTATGTTTGTTGAGTTTGGCAACGTTTTAACCCATAGGTTTAGGTCGAAATTTCGGCAAAATCAATAAACATCATTTTTTTTTCAATGCATGTCCTGACCAATTTTCATCCTTATATTTCTTTTTCTTTTACTTAAGTAGATGCAAACTGATTCCAGATGAGACATATCATTAAATTTAAACTTCACATATTCCAGGGTAGATAAGACAAACACATGGTTCCCAATGAGGCCCACCAAGTTAAATCGTGTGGGTAACAGAAAAATTTCACATTTTTATTGAAACTTATTTTGTTTTTTCGTTTGATGTATAAAAAACTATTCGACAAATAAAAATTTTATTTGCAATTTTTATACTGTGCATAACAAAGAACTTCAGTTTTTTATTCGATATACAAGTAGGGCAAATATCCCATTAACAATGAATTAATGATATTGAATCATGATCATGGTGTCAGAACATTTTATTTATTTATTTGTTTGTTTACTGTACCTGAAGAGTATAAAAACTTGCTCAAGGGCAAGAAAGGAATTCAGCAACAAACAGAATATGCCATGCATCAGATTCCATTGAATCTATTAATACTAATAAAACAAATGCATAATTATTTTATCCTAGAAATAGCATGTTATTAATAAATAACTAAAAAAAAATTAATTCTATGCCATAAGTAATATCTAATGAAACGATCTTTTAATGTCTGTTGGAAATTTCATTATTTAATATAAAAACTAAAATTAATCGCGTATCTTTGAAGTTCAATGAAGAAAAATTAATCAATTTATAAAAACAAGACAGGCCTTTAGAAACAGAACATAGGCAACAGTAACAACTATGGACATTATAGTTTCTGGATTATCATATGAAATAAGAAGCTAAATATGTAAATAATTCTTCAACGACTGTGAACTCATATATCAGTCAAGAAGAAATTGGGACAGTGGTATCATATATATATATATAGTAGAGAATCTGCAGGGGTCTTTCTCGTTAAACGACGGGATGCTCAGTAATCAATTTTACTTCCACACTATTTCGTCGCCTTACCATGAGGCAGTAGGTAATTTTTTAATGACTTGAAATTTAGGACATTTTTGAACGATGCCTTAAATAAAAAAGCACAAGTGGTCAGTAGAGGTGATAAAAAGTATTCTGTCCTCAAGGATTTCCTGCTGATCGTCGCTAACAGATAAATATTTTCACAAATATATTAAAAAAAAAAAAAAAATTGAGAAGCATCTAAGAATAGATATCCCAATAGTTGATTAAAAATTTTAAAAATTTATTTAAGATAAAATTACAAAGAACATTTAAAGTTAGATAATAACTTTAAATTTTATCAAATCACTGAGTAAAACGTTTTAGCACAATTCTTGTATCCAAATTTCTAACTTCAAAAACATCTGTCGTGTTTTATCCATAAATGTACTTCCACACAAAGACTTTACAGGTTGATTTGAATTTTGAAATTTTTCAGATTAAACAAAATAAGTTCACCGATTTCGTAAAAGATGTTCATGAAAACAACACTACATGCAATGTAAATGCAACAACAACGAGAGTAAAATTCTAAATAGTAAAAATTAAATTGGTAAGGAAAATTAGTTTAGACTTTCAAGCTAAATATAATAAGAAAGAACTTCTGGTTCAGGTACACATGCGGCACTTTCTACTCTAACATTCGCTGAATTTTTTTTTGGTTACATATTAAAATATTTTTTTATGTGAATTTTCTTATAAACATGAACGATAATATGTAAATAATCCAAATATGTACAAAAGTAATTAAAATTAAAGATGATTTATTTGATTCTAAGTGGCATAAAACTATAAATAAACTGTCGAAGAAGTGCTTACAATAATTAGAAAAGAAATATGCAAGTACATATAAATTCAGTAACTATTAATGACAGAACAAAATTACATAAAAGTCACTATTTCAAACAAAATTACGATTAGCTGAGGAAATAAAATATTTTAAACTTAGCTTAACAGGCTAATGTTTTCATAATAAAAATGTATCGAGAAGAAAATAAAACTAATTATATATATATATAATTTATCATGCATTAGAGTCTTTACTGGACAGGTTTCATATTTTTAATAGAGATCCATGATAATTAAGTTAATTTTTTTTTTCTTTTTAGTTCGTGCATACATCTAAAGTTAATTTTCAGGCAGGGAATTTGAGTGGGATTAGGTAGAGGGCATTAATATACAGAAAACCTTAAACCTCTTGAGGAAAATAACATAAGGTTTATTAAAGCGAACAGATAAAGTCTACATTATTTTAAAATGAAGTATAAGTTGTCGAGTAATATTAATAAAACAAGAATGGATAAAACTAAAATTTATCAAAATATTCTTTAATTATTTCCACTTGCTTTCTCCTAATTACAGAACGGCACAAAAAGAATGGTCAACAAAAACAAATAAAATCTATCATTATTAATATATACCTAGTCCAGTCATAAATATTGTTACAAGGAAATATATACAGATTTTAACAGAAAAATATTTTTTTCAAAAACTTTATTATAAAATAGAATTTATATCTATAGAGAGTAAAATAAAAAAGAAATTACTCAAAATGTTCCACTTTTGACATAGACATTTAATCTCCATAGCCATCAATAGCAGCACTCATTGAGAAAAGCGCTCAACTGCTCGGATAAGAAATTGTGTGAGGCTTTCCAAGTTAGGGTGTGCTCTATAACATGCCATCCTCTTCCAGTTCGTACCAAAGCCGATAATCTAGTGGGTTGAGATCAGGACTTCCTGAAGGCCAATCCGAGGCAGAGATGAACTCTAGAATGATCTTTTGCAGCCACTGCTGAGTGACCTGGCCTTGTTAGCTGGAGCGGAATCCTGCTGGAAAACTCAATGACTTCCAGCAACCAGAGTATCATTTAGAGGCTTGACAACAGGTTCAAAAATATCGTCCTGACAATTTTTATATCTATAAGTTGTATATCCTAAAGGGGTACAACAACTTGATACATTAAATCTGTATGAATAAAATATTTATATCTTATTTGATTTTTCGAGAAGTATCCAAAGAAAAGTGTGCAACTTTGTACACTAAGTATACTCCACAAAATTTGTTTTTTGTATACAGTTGTAAATATCATATAAATAAATAAAAAAAAATATATATATATATATTCATTTCATATCTTGGACAAGAATATGGTCAAGAAACTTGACTGTATAAATTTATTAATAGAGGTTCGAGTGTACATTAATATCATATTAAACATAATGCTAATAAATAACTTTTCATAGTATTCCATTCTTGTTTTAATAATATTAACCTTCGTAAGAATATTAATTGAGCAAAGGAGTTAACAGCCATCAAACCCATCACTAATCAGCCATCTATCCTACCCTAACCTTTTTATTTTATTTTTTTCAATAAAGCTTCCACAAAATTAATTATTAAGAGTAAGAAAGCAAAACTACAGCAGATGACGAT